TCTCTCTCTCGCCGAAGCGGTATCTTCAGCGCAGCAGGTACGTGTAAGCCAATCTTGTATCGCTCATCTCTTTCTTTCTCTCTCTCTCTCTCTCTCTCTCTCTCTCTCTCTCTCTCTCTCTCTCTCTCTCTCTCTCTCTCTCTCGGTCTTCTTCTTCGTCGTGGTCTCCTTGCAGGTGCACGGCGGCTTCTTCAATCTCAGGTCCACTATGGCGGACTATCTCCTTCGACTGCCACCTCAGCTATGGCGCATCAAGCCCTACATACGACGGCGCGCGTGGAATAGCGGGTACCAGCTCCGATACCAATGCAATCAGACTCGTTCTCAAACACACTTTTCATACACGTAAACAGCAACGCAGCATACTGGCGACATGCGCCCACTCAAAACTCAGAGATATGGCTTTCAGATACGAGTTCACTCTCAATTGGCTATGGCGACTTCAGCGCCCAAACATCTCACTGTTCACATACACTGGATCACCCTGGATATCCCACACGCATCACTCTAACACTCGAACACACACACACACACTCACTACTAACTTTAGGCTATAGCAGCTATCGCTGCATCTAACCTATCGTTATGCTAACTCCCGCTCTCTTGCCCACTGCGTCCTCCGGGCTCATCTGCAGACCTCCTTGCACAAGTCGCTGTGGCAGCGCTTCCGTGTGGCTCACGCAGGAATGAATGAATGGCTGGGCGCTGCCTCTTGATTTATACTTCAGAAACTCGTTGGTCTGCCCTTTGCCATCGGCCCTTGGTGCTCACAGTCCCGCTGTGGTACTTGCTGGACCGGACTGGGACTGACTGGACCTTCTGCTGACTGACTGTGGACTCACCGCTATCCTACCGACGTTGTACTGCTGTTGCACTGCTGTTCAGTCCACCACTTGCCTCACCACTTGACCACTTGCCCACTTGCCAACCTTCTAGAAGGTCTACAGCTAAGCTTCTGGAACTCACTAAGACTCCTACGCTATAGACCTACAGATCGAACCCCTGCTGCCTATGGACCTACGACAGGCCTACCAATTGCCTACGAATACACAGGTCACAGGTTAAATTCTCGGGGTCTACACCGATACTGTACATGGGTAGGGTGAGGTCTAGGGATCGAACCCTGGGGACTGCATCCGCCACTGCTAAAAGGTGAAAACCGTTTCAATTGGGAGAAAAAAAAAAGAAAAGGTGTGGGGTTTAGGGAAGTGTTGTATTTTTTTTTTCAATAAAAAGGACACGGGGGGGTCGAAGGGAAGGGGGGGGTAGAGGGGCGTGGAGGAAAGGGGGAGGTGAGCACGGTGGAGGGGGGGCGAACGCAGGGTAAGGGCGAACTTGGGGGCAGGAGGTGAAGGGCGAGGGGCGAGGTCAATCTCAAGTTCCTCATCGATCCCTCCTCCCCGGGCCGTAACAACACGACAATAACAACAACAACAAAAAAAACAACAATAACAACAAGAAAAGAAAACCATAAATCTGATGGATTTAAAAAAAATAAACAAACAAAGAAAGAAGGGTTTGGACTTAAGGTTTCCACGTCCTCCCCCTCCCCCCCCCCTCCCCCACCCTTCCTTACATACCTGGAAGTGATTTGACTTGGGTTGAGG